TCACGGAATCCAAAAATTTTTTCGCAGAACTATTTCAAATAACAAGTAGATTCGTTTTAGCGAAAAAAAATTTTTGGGGTTAGGTGCACTTTAAAGTAGTGCATCATTTGGCCATCACGCTAACGCTTCACTTCGCCAACCAATCAAAACATGGCATTCCTTTGACTGTTAACATATTCTTAATGGCGCTTAGGCGGAAAATGACGTTAGTCAATACTATCCTTGAATTCTTGACAGACACTGAGAAAGGTTTCGTTCCGCTTATTAAATTCCGCTCTATAATATTTGCAGCTTTGTGTTATTTTTACTTAGCCAACCGCAAATCAATTTGATAACGAGGCCACTTAGAAGTCACTTCGAGCCGGGCGGAAATAGATGGGTGCGCTCTTTCAAATGAAATTGCTTGTGCACCGAAATACAGAGAAATTGAAACATGACGCGACATCTCCAAATGACATTTGGCTCAAAAATGTGGTTTTTCGGTATCATTACTGCGAGGACAAAAAGTCAATCTTGCTATGTATTTATATCTCACTGTATAATTTCGCATGGCGCCCTCTCCTTAAATTCCCTTTTGGCTTTCACATTATTGCCAAAACAATCTGTTCGACCAACCAACACCGTGGCCACGAACAAAATGCCAACTAAAACAGCAATTTCTTGGATCTTTGCCATTGGCCTTTGTTAATGCCTAGTTCAAAATAGCGTTTTAGTTGGATCACCTTTCAAGTTAAGAAACATTGTTGGTTTGCTTGGGAGAAACTGTTTTTATACACTCGCAGATAATGATATATTTGTGCATACATTATATTTAAATTCAAGCTGAAGGTGTAGATGAATTTTTTACAAGATAAACTACATTTTTGATTAAGTGGCATTGGTTTCAAGGGATAGACCTTTTCAGTGCTGATGTTTTTTAGCCGTGGTCGTCCATTTAAGCCAACTTTACCACAGACTCTTGAGAATTTTGAAATTGCATTATCACGTTCGCACAAGTGTCCTAGCAATTCATGAAGACAGGATTTTCTTCAGTTTCTTGGGATCTTCGGTTGTGTTGTTACTACGTCTAACTGCCCCTATTTGAAGCTACTTGGTTAACGCAAAAGGAAAGTGTAGCGAGAGGTTATTTATTGAAATCTCCTCAGGGAATAGAGCAATTGGCACCAAAACCAAAAAACAAAAAAAAAATCAAACAAAAATTGTTTGACTCAATCATGAATAATGTTTGGTTTTGGTGTCGATTGCTTTGATCCTGAGGTGATTTCGCTGCACTTCACTTTTGAGTGAATCAACTTTTTCATTAGTTAACCACTGATAAAAAAACTTTTTATGTTCTACTTTATACAAAAGTAGTCACAAAAAAATGTAATGACTAATGTCTAAAGTAGAACATAAAAAGTCCTTCTCAGTGGTTGAAAAAATACAAAAATTTGATGCGGTGAGATTTCTGCAAAAAGATGATTACCTCTGTTTAACGTAATTGATCGTTTTGTCTAATTTATTGAAATTCAGCCAGTTAGGTTACTTGATACTTCATTAATGAAAGACTTCTTTTGTTCTAGTTTGGACATTGGTTTTTGGTTTAAAATAATAGTCTCATACCGTCACGAAATTTGTTCTTTTGGTGCCGATTGTTAGATTCCCTGAGGTTTCAGTTAATATCTCTTACTGCCCTTCAATTTTGCGTTTTTTACCAAGTAGGTTCAAATTGATTTATCTTAAAAGGACCAATTAGACGTATTAACACCTAAACCAAAGATCCCAAGAATTTGAAGAAAACTCTGTTTTCGTAAGCTAAAGACAGCGCTACGGAAGTAGGCTTTTTTTCCCCATTCTCACCAGGAAAGGGAGGGGGGGGGGGGGGGGGCTTAATTAAAGATATTATTTCAATAATTTCTTTAAAAGTAACAGACAAAGTATGTAACATTACATCTTTTATTGACATCATTATATATTGACATAATCAACTCCTGTACTATTTCTTTCCGGCAAAGAATTCTTTTGCGAGCAGGTGAAGAAAATCTTCTTTACTAAAGGATGCTTACGTTTTAATCTGCAATGAAGAATAGTTTAGATTTAGATTAGATTTTTATTGTTTTGTACTATTTACAATAATTATAATATACATATTCAAATAAATCTCTAAAAAAATACAAGACGATCATATTGCAATGGCAGTGTAGTCAACAAACGTCTTGAAGGACAAGAAGAAATAATTCATTGGAAGCACTAAATTTTTATTGAAATATTTGAGCCTTTTGTTTATTTCTAAATTGTTTCTGAACAATGACATCCTCAATTTTACAAGGCAAACAAAACGCGATCACGTTAAGCTTACGTTCGAGAGTATTTTGTCGCTATCATCAAAATAAGACATGCGCTAAGACTTTGCCTGGTCCATCAAACGGATGAGCGCATTGTTGTTCACCAGGGACACCGGAATGAGTTCTTTTTGCCAAAGCTGAAGAATAAAATCATATAGAAACTCCTGTTAAAAAAACATTTTAGCATTCTGCTAACATGCAACAATCTGATTGGCCGAGCTATTGCAGGCTATCAACTATTAGTATAAATCTACTAGCGTTCTATCACGAATGTCGTTCTCTTACTGGCTACGCTACCCACTATTTATTCTGGAATAGATAGTGAATAGCGTAGCAGTGTGCCCTTGTTAACAAAATGACGGACGCTTCTTGGAGTTTTCGAAGTGTCTGTGAGGAGGATTTCGATAAAGTTTTGAACGACTAGTAGATTCAAAATAGAACAATTATATTATTCGCTCTTGATTTCTATGCGTGATAGTTGGCTCGGGCTGAGCCCTTGTCAACTATCACGTGATAGGAATCTCGAGCTCATAATCTAATTGTTCATTGGTGTACAATTGCTTAATTAAAGGTTGCTCTCGTAATGGAAACGTTTTCTCCTTTCTCTGAACTTTCGGGAACGATTTAGAAGCATTACTAGAAAACTCAGTTTCCAAGAGAAAAGCATTTGGCTGTTACGCGACTTTTAAACCTTAAAAAAAATTGTTAAATTGTAGAATCAGTTACTATTAAATATAGAGAAATACTTACAAGTCTATTTGATGAAAATTAGGCCAGAATTTTTCCAAAACAATTAGATTATTCGGCTTCGATTTCAGTCGAGGTAATATATGACACAACGTTTGGCTTCTTCAACTATCACGTCATAGAAATCTCGAGCTCATAATCTTATTGTTAAATACATGCACAGTATCAATCAGTATTTCATATGTAAGCATGCTCAAGTTGAAACTGACTAACAAACATCAAAAACTTCATTTTGCAAAAATACATCTTTCAATGATTGGTCACCTCATAGTCTTACATTTAGACATTCAAATGAGTTTACTAGGTAACGACAATAGTATTAGCCTTAAAACATCATCCTTACCTTACTGAAGTCACCTTTGCTAAGGTCGTCAGTTTTTGCAAACTGCAGTCGTGGTGCCACGTCACTCCAGTATTTAAACGCTCTGGCCATAATCCTCGCTTGATGATCGTGTGACATATCGTCCCCGTAAGTCATGTAATACTTAAGATTGGTTTTCCTCCATTTTCCCGACGTAGCGTAACGCTTTTGGCGTCCTCCAGTGATGTCAACATCCGGGACTCCACAACGCGGTTTCTTCATCTCGTATATCGTGTCCTCGTCCAGTTCACCTGTCACTGGCAGACCAAAAAACTTCTGAAAGTTCTCATTTGCTACGGTGGTGTTTTGATTCCCAGATCTGGCTGGTGAGATGTAGTGGTACTGTCTCAGATAATCCTGTAAGAATGAAGTGGAAAGAGACATTAAACTTCCTAGAAACCTCATATCCATATAATAAAGAATTAATGTGTTTTTCCCTAAAAATATTGAAATGTAATAAAACCGCGAGTAGCTAAGTCTACTGAAGACGAAAAAAATGAAGGACTGTTATGACGACGCCTTGAGTACAGCTGAGGCCTCATCAAGTAAATCAAACCGCATCAGGGTGAAACTGTTAACAAACTCTAAAATCGCTTCATTGTAGCACATACCTTTGCAAAATCTTCTTCATCTTCCTCGTAATCTTCCAACTCATAAGAAACAGCTCTACCTACAAACATCAACGAGAAAATCACCGAGGAGACGAACATGATTGACCTGTTCAGCTTTCCAGCAAAACTGATTTTGTGTTTACAAGAATATTCCTTGCCCTTTATAAACTAGAAAGGTGTGATAAACCGTGTTTTCGTCGAATTAGTCACTTCTACTCAGTTGCAGAGGGAATAATTAACAAATATTGTGTTTCTGAAAATATCAGGAAAGTGTAACAATGTGAGTTTGATTAATAAGTGCTATCCTGGTAACGTGACAATTTTCGTGGATGTCCATGCATTATTCTGGAGTATTCCGAATTATTTTCTTTGTAGACACAGCCGTGCATTACGAACACCTTCATTTGGACGTGATGGAAATTTTGCAAACGCTCCAGTCGGCCTCTTGTTAATCTCCTATCTTTAACAGGGTACAACTGAATCTGGAAGTGTCAAAGATATTGCAGTGGGAACGACGTCAAAAACAAACTCAAAATTTTTTCCCTGTTAGATTAGTCCGCATTCGAGGGCGTAAGAAATTATATAACCTGTAAGACTGATAAGTTGTTGCTGACTCAAAACATGCAGATGAGCAAAATGTAACTATAGACAGACACTCTGGATAAGGAGAAGTGGAAGAAGTGGAACTTCGCTTCGTCGTCTCATGATTTTGACGTTTAAAACTTGGTTGTGTCCTGGTGTACCGGTACACAGAGGGAATAACCATTATACTCCTTTCTTTATAATTACGAACCTTTGTTTAGCTGTTGAACATTGTTGGGTCTTTTGTATCGGTTCTTGTGAACCGGTACACGAGGACAGAACCTAAAACTTTGTCAATGATCCGTTTGACTGAACGTACAGGAGGAGTTTAATAGAGTTGTAAACTCGCCGATGACATTAGAGAAAAGCACAATTTTCCAAAACGTTCTGTTTTCTCCATAATTCTGTCCAATTGACCTATCTAAGTCTCTAATGAGCAAAATTTGGGCTGATATACTGATGGCTTTTTGGTTAAAGAAAGAAAATTGTAAAGCATTGAAAACATTATCTGGCTGCTGTTTGCCGGAGAGGAACAATAAAATCTAT